CTTTGTAAATCACCAAAACAGTCCCTGGGTTCAGAGGAAAGTGAGGCAGGGATATGCCTCACTTGGAAGGGCATAGAGTATGGAAAACTCTACTATGTCCTGTAATAGCTAAGGTCACGTCATTGGTTTCTGAAACAGTTTATAATAAAGCCTGTGCTGGTTTTCTTTGGAGGACAGAGCCTCCAGAGAAGGGGCTGGTAAAGCCCAGGTGCCCCAAGAGCTGAGATCAGGACGTGCACTATGTTAGCACTGGCTCAGCATGCTTTGGGCCGTGCGGCCAAAAAGCTCCGTTTTCCTGAAGAGGAAAGGCCGGGAGCAGAAAGGTCCCAAACATGGTGTGCTATGAACTGTCAGGGGGAGGCTCCCTGGGGTCTGTGCACCCACACCATTCCCACCTAGATGCCACTGCTTCAATTAAAATTATTCCTGCTCGCTTTTGTCACATGACTAACCCACGGAAAGCATAAGCTTTTATAAATACATTTAGAACAAAGGAACATACTTATCTTTAATAGAGGGTTATACAACCAATACTAATTAACCAAGAATGTAAGGTAAATATATTTACCTTTTATAGCAGAACAACTCACAAAGAGCTCACAGCAAGTCTCTGAGTTAAAAACACTATTCAGGGCTGCGAAAATGACAGGCTTCTGATGAAAAATCTTGTTCTGCTTTCTAACAGAAATTCAAAGTGGTATCAAAATTTCCAGTGAAATCAAGAAGCTGGGGCTTGCTGTGGTATACAGGGATTTGGAACTTCTACTTCTTTTCCACTTGAAGTCAATGAGACATCTGCCACTGAGTTCAGTGGGAGTAAGACTGCAGGATTTGGCAATGTCTTTGGGTGTTCCTGACTGCGCATTAGGAGCTTGGACTTTTGGTGTGGGATTGTTTTTTAAATGTAACAATTGTCTCACTCCCTTGGATAAATACAATTTGCAACTCACTTTACAGATGTGCTGGAGCTTTTGCAGCCTTTACAATCTGTCATATAAATCATATTCAAGTGTCAATGTGTGAAGAGGCTACTTTAGAGGTCCTCTGGGTGAAAACATGAATGGAATTTCTAGAGGAAATGCTCTCAAAGATGCGTAATTTGTCTACTTAGCCAGTTACTTTAAAAATAAGATGTTGATGGCAAGTGTCACTAGACTGAATTCAAGTTTTTTTTTTTCCTTTCTACCTGTAACTCACAACTACCGGAGTTGGGAGTTTTGGTGGGAGAACTTGCTGAAAATAAACTATTGAAACCGAGCCTCAGATCCAGGTAAGACAACATCAGCCTCCTTGTACCTCCAAAGCTTGTTAACTTTAATGGCAATTTTGGGTACGCGCGGAAAGCAGCCTCAAGTAAGCTACAGGAAGAGGGATTAATATTATTTCTGAGACAATTTCCATGACCACCATCATTATACTGTTGTTGATCACAATTTCTTTTATATGTTTCTCATCTGCCTTGCCTTTCACCCTCTGAAAGGCCAGCTTGCTTTCTTGTGTGGTGTTTCATTCAAAAAGCCAATTGGAAAGGTGTGTAAGAGTAGTGTGTAAGGTGAGCGTGAGCAGTTTAGAAACCATCTTTGACAGCGGCTGTTTAACCCTCTTCTCCTTTGTCACATCAGTTGTGCGCTGCTCAAGTTTTCTTCTTTTTAGACGAGAGAATTTATGTAGCCCATAAAAATTTACTGGAAAGAGGGCGTCTACCCCCTCATTAAAATGCCTAATCTGGCACCCTTTACTTATGCAAATTTAATCAATGGACAAATGCTCTTCTCACAGCAGCTGCACTAATACAAACAACATCAAAGACTTTGTCTAAGTTGCTCTGAAACAACTCTGGGATCACTGAAATGCGAGATTTGGCCTCAGACTTCACATCACCAGCCATTCACTCATGTGACAAGACTTCCAGAATCGGGTCCTTTCTCTCCCCGAATTAGAGCCAACCACATAACTTGGGAACAGCCAAGCAGAGCCAGCTGAGTGGGCTGAGCACAGTCAATCCCAACAAATTACAATAAGAAATGTATCACGCTGCCTGCTGTCAGGTGTAATTTATATCATACCAGAGGGGTGACTGGAAAGCAGGTATAGGCAGGAACTGGTCATACCTATACTTGCTCCTGCTGGGCCTGATCTGGCAAGCTGCTGAGAGCTCTTCCCTCCCATTGAAGTCAACATGAACTGAGGTTGTTCGTGACTTAACAGGACTGGGCCTCCTCAAAATATTATGGAAGGATAAACACAATTTGATGATTTTTTTTTTCTGTTTTCCATTAGCATGTGATGTCTCTGTGTATGCATACCCTGATAGTATTTATACACTCGCTCACAATCTGTATGTGTCCTTAAACATACATGTACAGTATATACTACAAGCTAAAAGCCTACTTAAGATTTTGGAGCACAGAGAAAGAGAGATTGTAACACAAATAAACAGGAAGTTTATTCCTACAGCTTTCAATTTTAGTGAGCGCAAACTATTTTATGTGACTGGAGCTAAGATTTAGCAAAGCATTTCAGCATATGCTCACATCTTTTGCTGAAATACAATCTACAAATTTGTTTGATTTCTTAGATTTGAAGCTTTTAAACTCACGCTCAAACCTAGAGTTTACTATGCTGTCCAAAATAATCCACAAAGTTCTGTGTGCAGATGAGTATGGCCATGCCTCTATATGTGGCCATGCATGTTATCTCTGAGCATAAGCTAACAGTGCTCTGGCATTATTTCCAGATGTCTTGCTCAGAAAAGCTATCTCCTTCCTCCTGCACCTGTGAGAGACCCGGGATTCCTCTCCTAGCCAGACCTCTGCGAAGACAGTCTGTGCCTTACGGAAGATACACACCAGGGCAGCGAAGCACCATCAGGAGCTCCAATCACCCCCACCGAAATAACTGCAAGTACTTTGCCTTAACCAGGAATGAGAGCAGGCCAGACTCAATGGGGGTAACCAACCAAGTCTACCTCTCAGCACTGCAGGAAAACAAAAAAAAAACCCACAAAAAAAAGGAAAAAATAATAAATTATTAACATATGTAGCAATATGTCCTACTTGGGATGCTGGTAAAGGGTTATCTTTTGCTATAAAAATAAATGTGATTTACAGGTCTCATCCTGTAAGCTCTTACTCCAGTGAGAACTGAAGTTTGAGCAGCTGAAAAAGCATTCAGGCCTTACGAGATAACACAGCAATACAAATCAAAGACAGTACACAGCAAAACATCAGGCAGCACATGAGCACTGGTCAGTCACAGTTCTGTGCTTTCAGTTTAAACAAAGTACAAAATCTGAAGAAATATGCTTTTGCTATTTATCAAACAGAAAAAAAAATGTTTTAGATCAGTACTCTATTCTCTTTAAATAAAATCTGTGATTTTACGTATATTCTCCCAAAGCTTCCATAACTGAAGCTTTTACTAAGTAAGTCTGATATGGGGCATATTTTAAAAATATTGTCAGCAGTGATATTTTAAAATGTGGAAACAGATGTGCTACTCTATTACAACTGCTGAATCTTCTCTGTATTTTTTTATACCATGAAGCATTTGTCTGCTTCTCTGTTACAAATCTCTCCCCACTGAACTGATTCCTTCTCTATGATTAAAGTAGGACCACATAGACATCATTAAACAGATACTGTCCAGAAAAATCATATTGTTTTGGCCTGGCCATAAAATATAGGTATTTTAATAATTGTTTCTTTTCCATAGAGAATTTCAGCAGCTCCCTTTCCTTGGAATGAAATCACAGCCATATGCTTTATGACATCAGAGGCGTTTCAAGGTGTCTCCATAAATGTCATTTATTGCTTGGGAATGTGCCAAATCTGTGCAAAACCCCCTAGTTCTTTTAAAAGAAAAATCTTCAAATGAAACTAGAGCTTTACACTGGTTGTCATACCAAAAAAATAAACCTATCCCTTATGGAAATACTGGCCATGCAGGTAGCAAAACCTCTGGCAATGAAACCTGCTGACCTGGGCTCTGGTTTGCTTTTGAGTCAATAGTGCCTCCTTTAACCAGTCTGCTGGGCACCCTGACACTGTACATCCACACCTTCTCTTGGTTACACAGGAGGCACTTACCCTTCTGAAAAACAAGCAGTCTGAATGACAAAAAGCTGAATTGGTTTAGCGATCATAACTGTGAATCAAAATCAGGTATGTCTTAACGTACTGCTCCAATGAACGTGCCTTAACCCTTAACACAGCGGTCCCTTCCACACTACCTTCATAGGCCTGATGCTGCCCAGGATCCCCCATCCTTCACGGCGCCCAGTACCCCATGGAACTGGGAGCCAGGCAAATCATAAAGAGACTCTATGTCATATACACAAATATACTTTCATGCCACATCTATTCATAATTTGGCATATCTGGAGTCTACTCTGAGATAATACTGGCCAGATCTAAATAAGTCTTGCCAGACATGTCGCCAACCTGTCCAGCACAAATCAGCCACCTTTAAGCATGCAAAGATTCAATCCAATCTGCAGCTGTGAGCAGACAGAGCAGGTTGGCCGGCCACTGCCCAAAGGAAATGACTGCTGACACTGAGGCACACTGAGGCTACCACTGAGGTTAGGATTTTGGCTGGCCGACAGAAGCATCCATTAGTCCCAGTGTAACAGAGCCGTTCTGTCTTCTTAAGGAAGAAAAAACGGATTTTATTTCCCTAAATCTGAAAGAAAGAAGTTGCTTGGTGCAGTTGTAAATAATCTAGGGCAGCACACCAACAGGTGCTTCAAACGTATTGGCAGAGTGCAGAAGACGTTGAGAGAAAAAATGAATAACTCTCTAAATAATACATACATTTTACAGGCTTTTTTTTCTGTAGAACCCCAGTGAAGTTACTGTATAAATCGGAAACTGAATTATTCATAACTGGTGAATATATAATAAATCGTATTTCGCACTGAAATATTCCTCACAGGTAAATGCCTCTTTCTATGCAATGAACAGAAATGGGCAGCGAGCCTGAAAACACCCAGGTCTTACCTGGAGTCTGGGTACTTTGTCAAGGTAGCCAGGCTGCTGGTGTACATGTGTCCTCCTACATCGATGTGCACGGGAGCGTTCGACTTGGTGAGTTGAGCTGGGAGAGGAATTCCTTGAGCAGCCAGAGGAGAAACCGGGGACCGTGTTAGAGACAGACGGGACATGCTTCTTCCCTCCTGCAAAGGGAAGGCAAAAAAGAACAGTTTCTCTTAAATGTAGCAGTGTGCTACCTTTCTTTCCAGTGTGATCACAGATCTAATCAGATCATTTTTGCATCTGCCTGATCACATATTCAGCTAACAAATTATTGCCACCACTGTAATTAAGTGTATTTGCATCATTTTCTTCAAAGTACCAGAGGGGAAGCGAAAGATGCTTATTAGCAATAAGAAATCAAGAAAAAAATTTTTCAAGGTGTCAGCCTCAAGGGGCATAAAACAAACTGCAAAATTCTAATTAAAGGTCGCGGGCTTATGTGTTAGATGTGAAATATCCCCTGACAAACGAATAACCAATTTGTGAATTGGGATTCAGGGGTTTTTGCAAGTTTGTCTCAGTAACGAGACACCTCTAAATTAGTGACTTCCTCAGTACCTAAGGCATTTAGTTTATACATGTAGTAAATTTCACATCAAACTAAGATCAATTTTCTGGTTTATTTTCAATAATTGTGAAATAAATGCATAATTTTCAGTTAAGCCTTAATATTAGACATAAAGAACTAATAAGCTTTCAAACTGAAAGCAATTAATACCTGGAAGCAGTGAAAACAGGAAGATATATAAACTGACCTATGCTTTCATGACAAGACACGTTAGAAATTACTGTACAATCTGGCATGTGAAATTACAAATTCAACAATCCACCTAATGTTTACTGCCCTAATAATATTTGAAAGCGAGTGAAATTTCTGAATTGAGTCTAAAAATCTTCAGCTGACGTACAAAGCAAAAAATACTGGAATGTCTTAAAAATTAACAGGACAACCATAGCAAAAGAAAATTCCTCAATTCTCTTCTATAAGAAAAGCACAGCTTATTCTGCATGAAGCGTATGTCTCAAAGCTGATTTCAGTTAAATCGGTATAGACGGCATACATGTCAAACGGAAAAAAAACCTTTTATAAAAGTTTAAGAAAATGTCCATCCATTCTCCCCCTTACGGGTACAGCAACATATGCAAAACATTATAGTTGAAGACATTTCTGAATATAATCTAATTTTCTTGGTATTTTGTTCTGCAAGCATGCTACCAAGCATCCAGGCTCTTCCTTACATTTGACAAGCACTTTACATGCAGCATTGCAAAGTGAATTCCCATTTCTCCCACATTACTTTGACAATGTTTCTTAGAAATCTAAAGCTGGTCTCTTCTTTCTCTTAGCAGTATTTTGCACAAGATCCTGGCTACACCACTCAATGAACACACAATTAGCAACATTCTTTGTAAAGAAAAATTCTGAGCTATTTAGAAAGGGATTGAAAAATCTTAGTACATCTGGACAGCTTCACAAAGTCATCACAACATCTCCATTTACTGTATTTCATCTTGCTTAGCTCCTAAGAATTTCCTCCATCTACAGCACAGAAATACATCACCCCATTATGAATCCACATCCTTTTCTCTTCAGAGGCTGGATGGACATCTGCACTGAACACGAAGCAAATACCAACTCTGTCCTAGGACTTCTGTGTCAGCCGATGTGAAATTGGGCATTAACATTTTTACTACAGCACCACCTTCAAGGAAAGTGATTGAATCCTTTCATGACTGAAGACATTGCTTTCTTGTTTCCCACAAGAGCCTGTTGTGGGCAATCTTCAGTAAATATGTCATATAGCATGAATAAAAGAACTAACTTTTAAAAACAACTTAGTATGTAAGTACCTATAGTATTTTAGCGACCTGTTTACTAATCTGTGGGTGCCTCATCTGTCTGGCAACACAGACAAAGGGTTTTTTTTTCTTACCAAAGAGCACTGTAAACTCATGTTCACTCTCTACTCCTTCACTTAAATGAAAGGGTCAGAAGATCCAGGCTGAATGTCAACCCTGTCTTTGTTCAGACCCCAACTATTATCACTAATGATAAAGGTACAGACCTCGCATGGTACGGAGCTGCATCTCACGCAGTTTCACAAAACAAGTGCCTAATTAGGGCTCATCTGCACCCCTTGTTACAATTTCCAAATGAAATCAAAGGACTTCCAGTCCTCTGTAAACGCATCTTACATTTAACCATTTGTCTTGAAATACAGACTTCAATTTTAAAATATGCACAGATAGCTAAAGATCAAGTGATCTGAATCTATTTGTGCATATTTAAACACTGCTGCTATCTTAGGATTTTGTTTAATGTTAGTATACCAGTAAATTCCTTGATCTGTAAAGAGTCTGAGATTCTCAGTGAGGCCATACTCACACAGTAGATATTTAATTTATACTATTCACTGGAGGGACCTTTTGAACAATCCTCTGCTTTTGGCATCTCTCAGCTAGAGCATGTGTTGAAAAAACACTTAATTATAGAAAATCACTGGAAAGCTAAAATAGTTCTCAAACTTTTATGGCTTTTCATACTTATGCCACTGGCTTTTTGGGGGAGGGGACAAGAAGGGGGATTAAACACAGGCTTTTCCCCTGGTTGGAGAGGATGTGTATTAAAAAAATGAATCCTACATTTTTATTAAAGTTGTGGAATTCAATCATTTTCATATAAGCAAATTATCAAAGGGCGTAATTGTTAAGCACTACATAAAGGGCACTGAAAACACTCTGATTGCTCAAAAAAAATATTTCTTAAGGTACCCCCTATTTCTTAAGGTACTGTAACCCTATTTCTAATGACTCCTTTCTCTTCTTAATGTAAAATGCAGCTAAAATTCATCACACTGAGTAAGGTACTTATTTTATGCACAAAGCAAAATCCTAAATGTATTTATCCAGTGAAAGTCTTTATGCACGTATTTTCTAATACTGATGTGAAAATTAAAACCTTAAGGGTAAATATCGCAGAAACACTAAAAAACTTCATTTATTAAACCATGTAAAATAATCCTTGCTCTTTAGTTGCCTACAACAGGATACAGCATCCCAACTACTGGCACAGGCAATAACCCTGCTCTAATAAGTAACACAGGAACCTGCTGAAGGCAAAATCAATAGAGCCTGATTCCCAAATTATCTGAATACTTAGTTTTTCAAACATTACACACCAAGATCTTTCAGAGCCAGCTTATCTTTTTCTGCCTTTCTAAGCTAACTGCGTAAGTACTGCTTGTAAAAACTATTTGCCCATGCAAAGTGAAATAATCACAATGCCATGCTCATTTACACACAAAATGATTTTGTGTCCCATTGTGCTCACAGTTGTTCAGCTCTCTAGGGGTGATTAAACTAGCTATGCTGCTACAGCTTGAGATGATTTCACTGAATCGTTTCTCCATGAAGTTGCTTCTTTGCTAAGCTGTTATTTTAACCATAAAAGGTAAACAGAAGGCAGTTGTAAGAGCTCCATTCAGCTCCGTGCCCAGGGCTATAACCCTAGGGCAGAGAATGCTGAAAGACTGCAGAATTTTCCAGGGTGTTGCCTTTCTTGCTCTAAAGCCTTCAGGAATACTGTTCATTTAATACACACTCTAGATGATACATTTCAGATCCTACTAAAAGAAAGACTTCAAAAGTGTAAGAACTTTTGGGCGGATGAAGCTTTCCCACCTCTGCACATAGCTCGGGGCCATGGTAACCAATACTGCTGTTGATGTTGGGAAAATACAGTAGAAATAAACTGCACAGAGCAGAGCAGACAGATAGGGACAAGGGAGGTGAAAGGTTGCAGGAAAGAAACAGGCAGCAGTCTGGAAGGGATAACGAGAAAAAAGGGAAAAGAATGAAAAAGGAGGCGGCTCTGAAGGAGGGACAAAGTTAAATCAAGGAGCAGGCACTTAAAAGACTACAGATGGGAAGCAAGACTAATTAAGGATGTAAAAGCGCTTTGTTTCTAAAGTTTATTGTTGCCAGGATAAAAATTAATTGAAACTAATGCTGTTATTCACTCGTGCAGTTTAATTCCTTCATGCACATTTAAGACGTGAAACGAAAA